CAGATCTCAGAGCCTGACGAGGCCGGGAGGGGTGGGCCCCCGCGTAGGCTGCCTGGTGCGCAGCGGTGAGTGGGAACACCTAACCGGCGCAATTCGATCAGGCTGTGGCTGACAGGGAGAGAAGCTGGGCCTCTCATATAAGCTTGCATATATAAGGAACAGAGAATATGGGAAGAGGCAGCAACAAGAAAGGCTCCTCGGCCCCCAATTCTGAGAAACAGGCAATAGCGGACACCGCACCAATACACATAAAGCACCATATAGAGAGCCTCATAGACCAATTCAGGAATGAAGTTATCAACGACCTGAAGCTAGAAGTATGCAAAATAGTTAGAGAAATGCTAAGCCCCACCCAAGAAAAAACAGATGGTGGAATGGAAGAACAGAAAAAGAGGGGAGAATTGTTTGATGGAGAAAACAGGGAAAGCATAGAATACGTGAAGCAGGTTCATAGGGACTACCAAGAAACTAAGAAGTCTATCGAAGACTGGCATAACAGCTTGAAAGAAACTAAGGACAGACTATCTGAACTGGAGGGCAGAATTGTAATATGGGAGAATGAAATGAAAAACTTCTTAAAAATAACAAAGAAACAAACAGCAATAATACAAAGACAAGAAGATGATAAGAGGATCCATAACTTAAGGATTAAGAACATAAAAGAAGAAGTAGGGACACAAACAAATGAACTACAAAAGCTACTCACAGAAATAATCCAGAATTTTCCTAATTTAGCAAAAGGTAAAGATACTCAGATGTATGAGGCATACAGGACCCCAGCTACCTACAACCCAAACAGAGCAACACCCAGGCATATAATAATAAAAATTCCAGAAATTCAATACAAGAACAGAATATTAAAAGCTGTCAGAGACAAGAAACAGACCACTTACAAGGGAGCACCCATCAGAATTACAGCAGATTTCTCTGCACAAACCATCAAATCATGAAGAGCGTGGGGGGAAATAATTCAAGCTTTGAAAGATAATAATCTCCATTCAAGATTGAGATATCCTGCACAACTGTCCCTGGAAATTGATGGAAAAACAAGGTGCTTCCAGGATAAAGAGGAACTGGGGGAATTTGCAACCACCAATTCAACTCTACAGAGAGTATTGCAGGATATTCTAAAAAAAGAAAAATACAAAGAATCCAGAAATAGTGGAGGCCACAACTAATGGAGCAGAGAACAAAGTGAAGAAGACAAACTGACAGCTACTGACAGAATAAGAGCTCAACAGAAATGAGGCAGAGAAGATTGGATGATAGGAACAGCTATTTTGGAGAAAATGACATCTTAATAGGTAATACTGATTTAGTATCATCTTGTTTTGAAGTCTCATCTAGCTTTTTTCCTTCTGTCTCCAATGGTCTAAATAGGTTGTATCTTACTGGATTTTATTATGTACGATAGTATAAGCAAAAACCTTTTAAAGACAAGGAGATTATACAGAAACCATTATTCATTTTCTGTTAGTCGATTCTAAATACTCTGTAATGCTGTCATTCTCTTAAATGGTTTTACACTGTTTTGATATACTTAATGCTACAGTATACGAAGTTGTACTCAAGGATTTCAAGGAAAGAGACAATATGGTAACTACTTTTAGGTCAGGATTATCTGGTGGTGAAACACTATTCTGCCTAAATGGTTATGTTTTGATCTGTGCTGTTTCGTTGTTATGCCCTCTTTTATCTCAATCTCCACTCCATTATTTACTTTTTTAATACTTTTTTAAAATTTTTATCCTTTTAATTAAAGGAAAAAAAATAACAGGATATATTATAGTAACCCACTTTGATTTTCCATTACCTCGATTTAAAGCCCTGTATTACTCTCACCATCTGGTTTTTAACTGATGTTCCCCTATTCTGTTTTGCTGGATAGTATCAGGTTCGAAAATTTAGGCATCAGCTGTGAAGATAATGAGATTCATTATAACGCCCATTCTCATTGACTTTTATCTACTTTTGAAGACCTACAATGTCTCCAATGGTTTGGTTTTGTCGGTTTTGTTCTTTACTGTTTTGTTCAATTGTATTATAACTAATGGTATAGGCAATTCTATTAGAGATAGAGGGAGGCATTATGGTAACCATTGTTGATCACCTTGTATTATGTTTTCACATTATCTATTATGTCCACCCTTTTGACTTGACCGATTCTGTTCTGTTATGTCACATTTGGCTTTACTCTCTTCCAAAAAAGTAATAAGAACCGTGAGAGCAATGAAACCCAAAATGTGTAATAGTCATTGTACAAAAGAGAGGAAAAGAAAGTGCTCTAAACTATATAACTGCATGTATATTTAAGTGTATAAGATAGAATATGATATCACAGAGTTTTATTGGATCATTGAACAGAACTGTTTGCAGTATCATTGATGGAATGTCCACTTTACAAGCTTTAATTTTGTGACTTGAACAATTATTTCTAAGATGACAATATGTAATCCATTAACTAGTAATTTCCTACTGTTCATTTTTTTTCTGCAAATCTGTATAACTTGTACCCTTTCTCTGCTTTTTTTCTTTTCTCCTTAAATAAAATTTAAAAAAAAAGATATAGATAACTGCATGTATGTTTACGTGTATATGATTGACAACCATATTACTAAGTTTTTGTTGGATAGTTGAACCGAATTGTTTGGAGTCTCATTGTTTGAATTCCTACTTTATATGTTTCACTTTGTATCTTGAACAACTATTTGTAAAAGGACAATATGTAACATCAACTAGTGATTTCTTATTGTTTATTTTTTTCTGTGAATATACGTATTATTTCTACCCATTTTCTGTTTTGTTTAGTCTTTCTTTAAATAAAATTTAAAAAAAAAGAAAGAAATCAGCACCTCTTATGTTGGAGATGATACTGAATACTTTCTTATAGTTTGGCTGCTCCTCTTCCTACCAACCCATGTGTAAATTTCTTGTAAACCTAAGGAGACAGTAAAACATTTGTACTTCCTATAACAAGGAAAGTGCTACCATCTGAGGCCACATTTGTGTGGTTATTATAATTGTTACTGCTTCTTTTCATGTTCAACTCCAGTCTCTTCCCCTATGGTTTATGTGCATGGTCTGGTTTCTATTTCTTCATAGTACAAGCCTTTTTCAACTCATGGCCTTTTAAGTATCTAAAAGCCTGTTCTTGTGCTTAATTCTTTCTCTTTTCTTTAATTCTTTCTCATGAGACTTGTTTCATGACACATCATTAGTCAAATTTCGATACTGTGACCACATGAAGCTTTTGTTTTAGTCACATCACACTGGTAAGTGTCATTGGGCTTAGAAATTGAACAGAACTTCCTAGCTTGTATCCCAGTTGGTGCTCCTTTTCTCAGGTTGTTTTGCAGGCTCAAGAATACAAGTGGACATTTAATTTATTTTTACATCCTTTGCATTGATAAACTGTAGTGAAGTCTATTTGGATCCAGCAGCCTCTCCCAGCTTCAGGTTTACTGAGAGTTCCTTCAATCTCATAACCCAGTTTTGGGTAGAAATGTTAACCCAAGCACAGTTGAGCTTAAGGGTTAGTGCTAGCCTTTTCTTTGATTTGAGGCATTAACCAATGCCTGTTATTTTTCAGAGAGTATTTTATAGGACACAAGGCTCATAAGATGCTCTGTGACATGGATCAGATAAGTTAGGAAGTGCTTCATACAATGGGGAGAGCTCCAAATGTCTTACAGGAAGGAAATTTCTTTAACCCATTTAATGGTTTGCTTTTTTTTTTTTTTTGGTGCTGGGGATCTAACTCGTGACCATGTACCTGCAAGGCAAGTGCTTATGCCACTGAGCTAAATCCCCAGCCTCAACCCATCTAATCTTGTTTGACAGAAGAACCCTCTTTAAAAAAGTAATATCAAAAAATAATAAAAAAAGAAAAAACCAAAACTCACACTACAGTATTTTTTTGTCTTGTCCAGAAAGATGTCCTGAGCAACTTAATTGTCTTGTTGCTACCCAGGCAGTATGTTACTTTAAGCTGACAGTCAATTCAGTCACAAAAAAATTGTAATTTGGCTTGCTCTTATTGAGCTCATACTGGTCTCCAGATCAATGTCTGTTACTGCTGTAAGACCACCGGTGTGGAATCTTTTCTCCCCCTTCCCTCCCTTTTCCCCTTCCTTTCCTTTTTTTCTCCTCCTCCTCCTTGTTTTGCTCTATTGTATGTGTGTCATTTCTGCTTTGAAAATAATCCTCTCTGACAGAGAATATAGAGATAAAAATGAAATTGGAATTTCCTACTTTACTGTGCCATCTATAACATTACTGGTTCTGATTAGTGGACTTCTTCCTTCCTGGGCCTCTAATTCGAAATGAGAATTCAAAGCCTGTTTCATTGTGTTTTTTTAAAAATAGTGAATATAATTTTTTTGGTAAGTTTTACCTTCTTGGTGTACTTGCTTTTGTTTTCTTGACACATATTTATAATTTCTGTTAGAAGTTTTAGAAGTGTACATGCGTCTTGGAAGGATGTAATTCTTTTTAAGACCTTAGCATAAGCAAGGGAAAGAAGACAAGATATCTCTGGGGCCCTGGTGGGTGTGACTTGTGTAGTCAGCCAAGAGGCGTTAGGGTGTTTGGAAAACTGCACTTGCTGGCAGCACTCTCCTACTGTAGACCACTGAGGCTCCAGACTGCATTTTTATTGTTGAAACTGAACCGCAGTTTTACTGAAAAGAGAAATTTGAACTATTTTCTTCTCAGGTGTGTCTTAGTTTATCCAGTACATTTAATATTCCAAAGATTAATAGTGAAAAGTACATAAGGAATCAAGGTTGAATCTTTTTTAGTACGAGGGATCAAACTCACTACCTGGCGTTTGCCAAGCAGATGCTTATGCCACTGAGCTAAATCCCTGGCACAGGGTTGAATCTTTAATACCAATATCTGTGCAACAGAAAATATGGAAATATTTAGCACAATACTGAGTATCATTGTGTGTTGGTTAATAAGCAACAGAGTAACAGTGATAAACATTTTTTCCTCCACAGGAACAAAAGTTGAACACTTTGCAAAAATTGGATGGAAAAACCATAAACACTCAGTTAATAACCCGTAAGTATTTCAGAGATATGCAACAATGAAAAGTAAGCTTAGCCTATCATATAATATGTCACTGTATAGTTGAAAAGCAAGTGAAGGGTCTAAAAGATATTAACTAGAAGGTTTTTTTTTTTTTGTCTTTTTCCTTTTTATCAGTACCGAGGATCGAACTCATGACTGTGCACTTGCAAGGCAGGTGCGTATGCCGCTGAGCTAAATCCCCAGCCCCTAGAAGTTTTATTTATTTATTTTTCATATAGAAAGATGATGCCTGGATAGCTGGGCGTGGTGGCTCATGCCTGTAATCCCAGCACTCAGGAGGCTGAGGCAGGAGGATCCTTGTGAGTTTGAGACCAGCCTAGGCTACAAAGTGAGCTCAAGGCCAGCCTGAACTACACAGTGAGACCCTGTCTCAAAAAGACCAAAAAAAAAAAAAAAAAAAGAAAGCTGATGCCTGCTGAGGCCAGAGTATCATAAGTTTCAGCCCAGCCAGGGGAATTTAGCAAATTAGTGAGCCTGTATCAAAATAAAAAATAATGAAGACTGGGAATATAGCTCAGTGTGAAGGCCCTGGGTTTAACTACCAGTACCACACATATACATTCATAGTAAAAAGTTAAAAATAAAAGCTGTTGTATGCTGTTAATAGTCATAATCTGGGAATCTAAAGCAGGGCAATTGAAAGCTCAAGCCTAGCGCTGGGTTCACAGCCCAGTATAGAGAAGAAAAAAAAAAAAAAAGAAAAGAAAAGAAAATTGAAAAACTAAAAAACAAACATTCCTTTTGACAACTTTGGAGTTAGTTTATACTTAGAATAACATTGAAGTCTAAAATTTCCTGAGCAACTAGTACTAAAAGATATAACTGGGGCTGAGGGGTGCATCTCAGTGGCAAAGCATGTATCTAACATGCACGAGGTCCTGGGTTCAGCCCCAGCACCAAAAGTAAATTTGTAAAGTGCACATTAGTTAACTAAGAAGGATTTCATTTACTTTAGTGTCACTAACTTGTACTCCATTAAAATAATTACTTATATCCTGAAGTATATTAATATCCAGATATTACTATCTGAAGTAAAATTATACCAGATGTTACTACAGACCAAAAATCTTTAAATCCTTAGTGCTAAGTGCAGTGCCTGGCTCATGGCAGGTCCTCAGTGCTTGCTGAACAAAATTGGTTTATTGGGATTTGGATTAATGCTTTATCACTAGTATCTCTATGAAAGCCATACCACATGGGTAGTCCATTTCTTGTGCTGTTAATATAATTATCATAGACTGGGTAACTTACAAAGAAAAGGGATTGATTTGGGTGCATAGGTATGAAAAAGCAAGATTAGAGTTGGCAGAGTTCCCAGGTGGTGGTGGGCATCATAAGACAAAATATGAGAACATCCGTATGGGTCAGTGTCTGCCAGTCTCCCTTCGTTTCCTAAGGCCACCGGGCTTCAATTATAAGAGCTTCACCCTGATGACCTCACCTAATCATAATCATCTCCCAGAAACCCCACTGCTGAACACCATAGTCTGATTAAATTCTCCTCTCTTAATACCTCACAGTGAGTACTACATGCCAATTTATGAAGCCTTGGGGTGCACACTCAAGCCATACAATAAAAGAAAAGTAACTGCCAGATAACAAAGGAAGCTAGGTTTATTAAATTCCAAAATGTGTCATTGTGCTGAGTATGTACATTTATATTTAATCCCTTTCAGGGCCCTGTAAGGCAGATTGAACTAGCATTTTCTCTCTCTCTCTGTCTCTCTCTGTCTCTCTGTCTCTCTGTCTCTCTGTCTCTCTCTCTCTCTCTCTCTCTCTCTGTCTCTCTCTTTCTGTCTCTCTCTCTCTCTCTCTCTCTCTCTCTCTCTCTCTCTCTCTCTCTCTCCCTTTTTTAGAGAAAAGTTTTTGCTAGTATGTAGTAGTTGAAGCTAGCCTCCGTATGTATCCCAGGCTGACCTCAAATTCATCATCTTCCTGCCTCCGTCTCAAGAGTGGTGGGATTATATAGGCATGCATCACCAGGTCTGGCTTTTTATTTTCATTTTACAGCTGTGGAATATGGGGCGTACAGAAATTTTAAAATGCCTAAACTGTGAGTGGCAACATTATGTAGGCATATATAATGAGGATAAGAGCTCTCTTACCTTTGTGTTCTTAATGCTTAGTGCTCTCAGTTTAGAACCTGGAACATAAGAATTGTCTCTGAATTAAAACAAACAAATTTTGCCACATGTAATAAACAAAATACCAAGAAATATTTTATACCAGAATGGATCACTAACTAATATGAAATGCTGGTCCTAGTTTTCCACAGTCTCCTGACTGTAAATTGGTATTTTAATTTAACACATGCATAACTGATCAATGTTTAATTCCATTCCCCACATCTCAGGGTGTTTTGTGGAAGACCCAAGGCTATTGTGAAAACACCAGTTAATCCCTACTGCGTACATGTTAGTTTCAGGCTCTTTCCAATGTGACAATAGGTACCTGAAAATTTGGTCAAATTCTACTTTGTCAGCCTCATTTCCTGTTGTTTCCTTGGATACTCCCAATATCTAGCCTCACCAAGGAATTTGGTTATTCCCCATGTACCGTTTACTAGTTGTTTATGTGTTTTTATTTATACCCAGATTTTCCTAGAATATCCATATTTCTCTTGTATTGTGAACATCTATCTACCTACACATCAAATCTCAGGACAAACCTTACTGCTTCTCTCTCTTTTTATTAGTACCTGTTTGTGATATATAATGGTTGCATTCATTGTGAGTAGTTGGTAAAGGTACATGGCCCATTTAATTCTTTCCACATCTCCTTCCCCCTCTCGCAGCATCTCTTGGTCCCCTTCCCATTTGCAAAAGATCTATCTCTTTGTTTCCTAATAACTTTCTTTTATTTTGCTATATAATTTATTTATACTTTGGGTTTCTTAGACAAGAAAAACCACACAATATTTAAGATTTTTGTGTTTATTTCCCTTAACATTATGGTCTCCAGGTGTACCCATTTTCCAACAAATGAATCAAATTTATCCTTTATGGCAGAATAGTGTGTAAATACCATATTTTATTTATCATTCATTTGTTGATGGACATATAAGCTGCTCCCAAGATTCTATTATGAATTGTGCTACTGTGAATATTGGTATACATGCATCACTGTAATAGGATATATTTAGTTCTTTTGGGAAGATACCTAGAAGGGGAATAAGTAGGCCAAATGAAATTTCTATTTTTAGTTTTTTGAGGAATCCCCATACTGATTTCCATAGTGGTTGTACTAGTTCACATTTCCACCAACAAAGTAAGGTGGAATGCTACTGATTTTTGTGTAATTTTCTATCCTGTACATTGCTGAATCTTGTAGTAATTCTAGAAATCTTTTGGTGGAATTTTTTGTTTCTTCTATATTAAAAAAATCATATGTGCAAGTAATTGACTTCTTTCTTTCCTATACATATCCTTTTATTTTTTTCTCTTTCTTAATTGCTCTGGCTAATGTTTTGAGTAGTATGGTAAACAAGAGTATTGGTAGTAGACATTGTTGTCTTGAATTTGATTTTAGAGGGAAAACATTCAGCTTTTTTCCCATTTAATGTGATGTTGACTGTTCATTTGTCATAAATTGCTTTTTATCAGGTTGAGATAAGGTCCTTCTATACATATTTTCTTTGGGATTTTTCTAAAAATTATGAATGGATGTTGGATTTTTTCAAAAACTTTCTCTTTTGTCCTTGCTTTTCTTGATGTGGTGATTTTATTGATTTGTGTATGTTGAGTCATTCTTGCCCTGAGGGGTACATCCTGTTTCCTAGTATCTTGATGAGGATTTTTGCACCACTGAAAGGTGGTGTCCATTGTGATTTTACCTTTTTCTTTTCTAATTACACTGAATTAGGTGTTCTCTGATTTTTGGGGTAAGATTGGCTAAGAATTTGTTTATTCTTTTAAAGAACTACCTCTTTTGATTCATTGATTTTTTTTTTCTTTTTGAGACAGGGTCTCACTGTGCAGTTCAAGCTGGTCTTGTGCTTACTTTGTAGCCCAGGCTGGTCTTGAACTTGCAACAGTCCTGGTGCCTCAGTCTCCCCTCCCCCCAGTGCTGGGATTACGGGCATGCACCACCATACCCAACTGATTCAGTGATTCTTTGTATTGCTTTTTAGTTTCAATTTCATTAACTTCTGCTCTGATCTTCATAATTTCCTTCCTTCTAGTAGGTTTGGGTTTGGATTGTTATTATTTTTATAGAACCTTGAGGTTCATCATTACTTTGTTTATTTGGAGTCATTTTTTTTACATGGGCATTCATAGCCATAAACTTCTCTTTTAGGACTGCCTTCATTGTATCCTGTAAGTCTTTTCATGTTCCTGTTTTGTGTGTATGCAGAGTTGAGGTCAAATAGAATAGAGAATTTGTTGTTGATATGACTGTTCTTTAGTTAGGTTCTGTTTTCCAGTGATGTGTTCTTGGCTCGAATTTTCAAGTGGTATTACTCACCAGTTCAACCTATTCAATTTAATTAGGTTGGGTCCTGTCTCTGTGTTGTAAGAAGAGAATTTCTACTGAGTATAGTAGTATCACCAGATGCAAGCATGCATCAGTCATAAACATTAAAACTTGTTTTAATGATTTCACCCTTTTGTCAGTACTCCTCACAGACTATATTTTACTACTATTTGTGATCTCCTGAAACTGTAAGAAATTGTATTGATATGCTGAGGAATAGACAGTTATAAGTTTCTTAAACTTTAAAAAGGAGCTTTTGATTTTCCCCATAGACCAAAGTTTTTATGTCCTTCTCTATTTTAATTCCTTGTTTAAACAGGCATTTATTTATTCTCTTACAGAATTTCACTCATTCATCAAATATGTATTTAATAGCCTTCTACGTGCAAGCCAATCCTCTGATGCTACAGTAGTGAATAAGACATGAGTGTCTTGCTCTTGTGTATATTCTCTTATATATTATAAATTCTCAAGTATGTTGAACAGGCAAATGCTATTTCTGGATGTTATTTTTATAATTTTTTTTTTTGTCGGTACCAGGGATTGAACTTATGACCATGTACTTGCAAGGCAGGCACTTATGCCACTGAGCTAAATCCCCAGCCCATATTTTTATAATTTAAAAGTCGACTCAGCCATAAAGAGCCTTCTGGGTTTAGTTTAGAAATTTTAGATAATAACTTTTTGTATTAGATATTGCTTGGCCAGTGATAAAGAGAATTCTGGGTTTGCCAAGCAGTCATCAGAGATTCTGTGTTACATATGTCTGTGTATGATTTGGGATGATGTTCTGGGGATTCTGTCTTCTTAGTATCTTGAATTTATCTTTTCTCTCTGTTTTTCACTCCCAGTTCCTTACCTTAGCCTTTATTGTTTCTTGCCTTGATTATTTATCCCAGTGTCTTCACTGGTTTATTGTTTTAGTGATGCCTTTTATCATTCCTCTTGAGTACTACACCTTTCTTGCTGAAATACAGACCTAATCATGTCATACTCCAGTTTAATACCCTTTCATAGTTTTTTGCTTTTCAGTTTAAAATGTAATCACCATCTGACCCCTGTTATTCTGCCCTTTTTTCTCCATCCTCGCTGTCCATTCTCTCTCAACCTTTTTGCCTTTGCTTCAGTAGACAGCTGATGGGCTTTACATATGTTGCTACTTCTGCCAGAAACTTCTTGCTCCCACTTTTTATTTATCTTCTGGTATCTGGATTTAATGCACATCTTTGTGCTTTAGTAGGGCCCTATATAACATTTCTGTCACAGCATTTATTGTATTGTACTTACTAGAATCGTGTGTTTCTTTACCATAAATCACACTGAGTGGTTTGAGGATGAGAGTGGTGCTGAGTACAGGATATGGCACAGATAAAATGGTTTCTGCAAGGGGGTCGTGACCAAAGTTAGCTTTGGAAGTGCAGGCACTTGGCACATAGATCAAGTTATGCCAGTTTTGGCATCTGAAAATTGAGTTGCTTGTTAATTTCTTAGTAATTGACAATTGACAATATCTTTTCTGGTTTTTTTTTTTTTTTTTTTTTTTTTTTTTTTGTGGTACCAAGGTTCAAACTCGCAACCTTGTGCTTGCCAGGGCAGGCCCTTATGCTGCTAAGCTAAACTCCCTGGCCCGACAGTATCTTTTCTAACTGCCTTGTGATGCTGTCTTCTCTAGGGTGATTTTTGAAACTATCTGATTATATTGTTAGAGGAGCCAAAAGGAATATAAATAAATTTCTTCTTTGCAGAGATCAGAATGGAAACATGTCTTTAAGAATCAGATAATTTGCTGGGGATTTAGCAGTGGCTTAAGCACCTGCCTGGCAGGCGTGAGGTCATGAGTTCGATCTTTGGTACACCCCCTCCCCCCCCAAATCTGATAACTCAGGACAAAGATCAGCCAAACTTTTTATTATACAGCATAGATATTATGTAGTTAAACTTTTTAAAATAAATAAATGTACAAACCCAATAATAAGTACTTTATATCATCCCTTAAAATCATCCCGCAAAAGAAGGCAGAATTGCATGTCATTTAATTTTGCTTTTAAGGAATTTGTCATTTACAAGTCACAAGGAAAAAAATATGATATTCTCTTTTAATCCCCAACCAATCTAACACCAGCTGGCTGCCCTGCAGTTCAGTTCTGGCACAAGCCACCAGAGTTGATGCAGACCTTGTGAGTCAAGGCTTCAGCCAGACCAGCACACTGCTCACTGGCTTTAAATCTCAAGTGTCCAGCGACCCTCCTTCCAGGTTTGATGACTCCCTAGGTTAATTTTTAGAGCTTGGAAAGTACTATAATTATAGTTACAGTTTTATTATGAAAGATAAAAATCAGGACTAGCCAAATAAGAATATAGGGCTAGGTGTGGGAGGGCCCCACTGCAGAATGTTTACTCCTCTCCTTCCTTATGGAGGAAGGGCAAGTTCTCCTGTCACCCTTTGAGCACACCAAGGTGTTCCCTGGCAAGGCAGCCCTTCTGTGACCAAAGTTTTTATTGGACTTCATTATGTAAGCATGCTTAGTAAATCCCTGGCCACATAATTAAACTCAGTCTCCAGCCTTACTCTTCTGATGGCTCAAAGATCTAAATCCATGTTTATATGATGATCTCTCTCCCATCTTGAAGACAACTATGACCTACCGCTTCATTTATGTAACAAAGATACTCTTACCATGTAGGAGGATTCTGAAGAACCATGGCATGAACCCAGGACAAAGACCATCCAGACTTTTTATTGTACAGCATAGGTATTATGTAGTTAAACTTAAAAAACTCAAATTATTTATTTAAGGTTGAAACTACTCATCTGTCTTTTGGTTATAAAATATAAAAGTATTCACATGTTATTCTATCTCTCAAAATGGACAAAGATATCTTCAACAAAAACTACAATTACTACCTCACATTTTATACCTTCTTTTGCATTTAGGTATTCCCAGTTCCAAGAAGAATACAGTTTAGATGAAATAATGGCATCTCGAAGTATTTTTGATTATTTGACTATCTTACAATGTTGGTAAGAAAAAATCATATTGTAATATTTACTTGGTGGATGTAAATGCTCCCCTACCTTCCTTTCTCTCTGTGGTTAAACCTTGGTTTCTCTATCTGGGTGTAACTTTTATTTAACTCTACATTGTGGCCCACATTCTGGGTCACTTCAATAAAGTACCCTGATTACTTATTCCTGCTCAGAGACAAACTTTCTGTTCCCTTGACAACTAATTCCTCTCTCTCACGACTACTCAGATTGCTTTAACTGTATTTATTAAAATGTGCCTTAAGAGACCAGTGGAGTCCAAAGATTTTTTTTCATTGAGCATTTGTAGATGTCCAATTTGTAGAGGTCTAATTAGACCTCTCTGTAACTATAGCCAAGGTAAAATAAAATCAAGGGAAAAATCATTATTTTAATGATAATAATAGTTGTATTTTGTAAATTGCCTGGCAGTGTCTGCTTCCTAGAAGATTAAGTGCATACCGTGTAGCTCCTGTGTCATGGTATATACTTGGCTATGGTTTGGAGATACCAGCTGGGATACAGGTGGGCAAGTCCCATCACATTTTATCTGTTGCAATCTGAAGGTCTTCCCTCAGACTGAGAATGTCTTGCTGAGCTTACAGAGAGATTTTGTATCTGTAGCCTTCCTTTACAGCTTGGTCCAAGGAAAGATCTATTTTAAAGTTTTAAAGTTTTAACCCTGGACTTTCTGCTGGGCCCTGTTTTATTCTTTCTATTTCCCAAAGGATTTCAGGATTGCACTATCTTGAATATAGCAACATGGGAGCTACATGAACCTATAACAGAATATTTATTGTATTAGGATTGGAAATAACGTTTTACCAGTGGGCCGAAGCCACAAGCTTTTATTTTTTTATTTTTTATTTTTTTGGAAATAATGTTTTAGACCTCTAAAAATCACCAGAAAGTTGCCTTTTGCATCTGCAGAGGCAAATCCAAGGTTCTTGAGATGAGAATTTTAGGAGAGATGCTAAAGAACAAGCAGTGACTGACAACATTTAAAGTCTCATTAAGGGTTCAGTTTGCAGTAGGAAAGTATGGGTGATTTTTAATTGTGGTATCACAAAGAAGACAGTGCTCCCACTAGCAAGCACAGTCAGCCTGTCTTGTCTTATCCTATTCTGAGATCCTAGGATTGAGGTGGTGCTGTGTTTAATTATTTTTACCTTATCTTAGTCCTACTTCAGATGGAGCTGCAGCAGTAGTTCTGGCCAGTGAAGAATTTGTATGCAAGCATGGCCTGGAATCCAAAGCTGTGGAAATTTTGGCACAAGAGATGGTAACTGATTTGCCAAGCACATTTGAAGAAAAAAGCATTATTAAAATGGTATGTCTGAGATTCCATTTTATTAATCAGACTGAGGAAGTGGTATTTAAAATTTAAAGGTGACATTTTGTTGATGTCTGCTCTGGGAGTTGTTTACTTGCAAAAAATTGGCTTAGATTATAATTAATCCTTAAAAATTGGTCAAGGGAAAACAAATGATGAGAATAGATGCTTCTTATGATGGAGCTGTGAGTAGATAGTTTTAATTAACTAGATATGCTATTTGTTTTTATAAATTGACAGAAGATACTCAGAACTCCAATCTTACAGAGTTAAGTGAAAGACGAGCATCTTTCTGGGGGGGAATTTTCTTTTCTTTCTTGTGATGAGGTCTCATTCTGCTACCCAGACTGGCTTTGAACTCCTGAACTCAAGTGATCCTCCTGCATATATCCTCCTGTTGGAGTATAGATATGTCCCACTGTGCCTGGCTCCAGAGAACTTTCTTAACACTTAGCGCTTCAAAAAGCATGATTAGAGAGGGATTTGAGATGGCTAATTAGACGAACCTAGCATCTGCCTGCTTCTCCACAGAGCAGAATCAAAACAATTAGCACATGGCTGCTTATTGAGGTGAGTAATCATGGAGCTATGCTGAAATTTAGTAAAGGACAGGGAGACTTGGGGAAACTCAGAGACTGGATAGTGGGACAGAGGGTGAAACAGAGCCCCCAATCTTTCTGAAGTACAGCAGAGGTGGAGGTGAAAGAGGGTGTCTTAGTTACTTTTCTCATTGTTGAGGCAAAATACCCAAATACTAAAGAAGGAAAGGTTGATTTGGCTCACAGTTTGTAGAGATTTCAGTCCATAGATGGCTGGCTTCAAGGCAGGGTGACATGGCAGAGGGAATCTCAGGAGAAATCAACCGTGGCAAGCAAACAGGAGACAGTGAAGCAGCAAGTAGCAGCAGCAGCAACGCAAGCCTGTCTCTCCTTTCTTACCCATCCAGCCTTTTAGGTAGTGCCACCCATACCTAGGGCGGGTCTTCCCATTATCTACACCCAGAATTGTGCTAAACCAATCAGTGGGCTAATTTAGTAATCACCTATCCTTACTCCCAGCATCACACACTGTAGATCTAGCCACCTCTGAAAAGCCCCACCTATGACTGCATGAGGCTTTGGGGAACATCTAGACACAAACCATAACAGACGAGGAGACTCAATGAACAGCACTAGCACAGGATTCAGTGCTCTGCTGAAATATGCTCTAGACAGATAATAGGCCTGGGATTTGCAGGTGTACTGGGTCCCATAGTTCACTGTGTTGTACTTCCCAGTGTATTCTCAAGGTGCCGTGACTGGAAGCCATCCTGTGAAGGGATGGCTGAGCTTTTATCTCTAGGGATTAAAGAGCCTGCATTGCCCCTCTTCAGGATCCTGCAGTAATATCACTCCACTGGCTTAGCAGGCAGCAGCCTCCAGAGTCACTTTGGCCTTGGGGAGAGACTTTGATTCACATGCACTGAGATTCTATGCTATTTCTGGTGTGTATGGGAATTGGCTGGGCAGAGTCATCACATGTGACTGTGTATGGAACCAAATGTGGGAACACCAGAATCACTGATGACAGCAGTCATTCAGAATTGCCACCATCTCGCCCAGCATAGTGACACATGGGCCATACTGCAAAGCTTGTGTGTGTAACTCCAGCCCTCCTGATGGGTAGCACAAAAACTGGAGAATCTCTGGAGACTTTAGCCACCCATGCCAGCTTCTTGACACTGCAATAGCAGCATCTATCCGACCTGAGCATACAGAGCAATCAGCTCTGGGCAGAGTGCTAAGCTGGAGAGCTCTGGTTCCATCCTCATGGTTCAGATTCAGAGGAGCTGAGAGGCATTCTAGTGGGCTCCAGCCACAAATCATGCTTGCCAGGCACCACCAGAAAGGGGAAGAGAGCAAGTAACTCCAGACGTGGTTGCCCAAGGGGTACAGGATCTAAGAAGCCAGGAAGAGAAGCTGTGATTGGCATAGATTGGGAATATCTGCTGTTGCTTAGTAGTCAAGCCCATCAATGGAGAGGAAATTTTTATTTTGTTAACATTTTGTTGTTGTTCTAGTTTAGTCTTTGTTTTCCATTTTCAGCTTAAGATTTTTATTTATTTTACTTAGTTTTTTTTTTTTTTTTAAAGATAAGAGCTTGTTATGTAGTTCAGGTTGGCCTTGAACTTACTACATATGCCAACTTGGCTTCAAATTTCTGGCAATCCTGCCTGAGCCTCCTTTGTGCTGGAATTACAGGTGTGCACTACCACACCTGGTTCTCCTCTTTTTAATATTTATATTTTTCTTTTCTTCTCTTTTTTTGTCTTTTCCCACTTTTTTCTGCTTGTATCTTTCTTCTTTTTACTTGTGCTCTTTTCTTTAAACATTAATTTTATTTTTGTTTTTAGCTTTTATTTTATTATATGTTATTTTCCTCCAATCTTTTCCATTACTGATGGTATTGCTTTTATTTGTTTTTTACCTAACTTTTAATTTTTTCCCTCTTTTTAGTGCTGGGGACTGAGCCTACCACTTCAGGCATATTGAGTGGGTGCTGAGCTACATGCCCAGCCCAGCTGAATGGAGTTGTGCCTGTTCCAGCTGTCACTTGATTCCACCTGGACCTTAGTAGATACTTCACCTTAGTGAATAGAGGATTTAATGTAGCTGATGACTCATCCCAAAGCAGGCATAACTAGAGATTTATAAGTAACCCCAGACTTTGCTGCCCAACGGGTACAGGATCTAAGAAGCCAGGGAGAGAAGCTGTGGTTGGCATAGATTGGGAATATCTGCTCTTACTTAGTAGTCAAGCCCATCAATGAAGAGGAAATTTTTATTTTGGAAATCACCCCATAGCAACAGCAAAGAGAATAACACAACTATTATGGATATCATACCTGTGAGGGACCTAGAATTAGTTGTCCCCATACTTTATCAGATCACATGTTGCTCATAAGACCGGAGGTGGGTGCCACAAGTTGGAGCTATGACCCTATCCCTTGACCTTCTCCATGAACCAGCTGGAACTGTGACAGTGACTAGACATAGGATGAGAACTCCCAAGCCTATCACCACGGTTGGAGCAGCTGTAGAACTGCTTTCAAGTATCAGACATGAAATCAACAAAGTCTGAGGAAAATCCAATATCCAGTTGTGGTTTTCAGTCCCATCAAAAGAGTAACCATGGAGGGCATAGCCTGCACACTCTTGTTTCTGTTCCCCATCTATCTGAACCACCAAATGGACCTCTGTCTTGCCAGATCTCCAGGGCATAGCATCAAAAGAAGGCTGCTTGGGCCTGGGATTTAGTTCAGTGCCATAAGCGCCTGTGTGGCAAGTGCAAGGTTGTGAGTTCAGTCCCTGGTACAAAAAACAAAGAAGGCTGCTCACTAAGAAGCATCAAAAACCTAACAGACTTACATATAACAACCTGAAAACACAAGAAATAGGAAAAAACAAGGCAATGTGAAATTTCAAGTTCATAACTAGCAACACGTGCCAAAATGTCAGTGGATGAAATACCTGACAAAAATCAAAAGAATGACTTTTCAGAAATTCAATGAAACCTTACAGAATATGAATAAAAGTTGAATAAATTAAGGAAGAAAATTCAGGTTATAAATTAGTTCAATGAGGAAGAATTTTGAGAAAGAAACAAATAGAAATCTTGGTAATGGGCCAGATGTGGGGCATGCATGTGTGCCAGCACGTAGGAGGCTAAGACAGGAAGATTCACAAACTGAGTTTGAGGAAAGCCTGGATGACATGGCAAGTCTCTGTCACACACACAAAACACAGAAAACAACAACAGCAACTAAAGTCATCAGATAACCAAGAACGCTTGGAAGTAAAATCTTGTAAAACTCCTGCAAAGCCTCAAGAGCAGACTGTATCAAGCAGAAGAAAGGACATCAAAGCATCAAGGCAACTCAGTCAGAATACTACAAATACGAAAAAGTCTGAAGGGAACATAAAAGATCTCTGGGTCACCATTAAAAGACCAGTCTTCTGAATAGTGGGCACAGCAGAGGGAGGAGAGCTACATGCACAGTTCATAGAAAGCATATTCGATGAAATGATGGAAAATGTCCCAATCTTGGAGAAGATGTGAACATGTAGGTACCAGAGGCATATGAACTCTAAATAGACATTAAGGGTCTGGAGACTCATAGAGAAAAGAATCTCTCTTGGGCATACAGGTAAATTGCCAGAAGTACAGAAAAAAAGAATATTAAAAACTTGTAGAAGAGTTCCATCGTAGGTGACGAGGTGGCAGCAGAGAGAGAAAAGCCCCACATGTGCACCAGCAAACTTAGGTACACTGAAATAGGGGAGACAAACCCAGATATAGGAAGGAAACAGAAAGAGAAACTCATCTGATCCAAATCCACTGTCAGTGGAGTTTAGGAAGGAAAGCTGGACTGCACTGGGACCATAGCACCCCTAAATCCCCAGTCCAGTGTACACATGATCTTGGGAGAGGCTCTAACACCCTGAGGGAGGGAACCAGCACTTCAGGAGTGGCTAGGGCACTGGAAAAAGGCTCCTAGCTTTTTTGTCCTTCCTACTGGGAAAGAAGGGTACACAGCAAGTGAGATATTCATAGGCCCAGGCATTAGAGAAACTGAAAGCTGGCAACATGTTTTTTTGTTTTGAAAGGACACTGGTTGGGCCTTGGGAAAGTCAAAGACAGGCACATGACCCTGATTAGGGGCCTGGATCTGAGCACTGAGAATATGGTGGCTCAAGAGCTGTATGAGCAGGCAGCAAGACCCTAGGAGAGAGGATACAAACTGTCATGGGACAGGCATTCTCCCCGTGGGCTTTGACCATAGTGTGAAAGTTGGAAAGCAAGCTTTGGGGAGAGTGAACTGGGGAGATAGCAGAGAGCTGCCGCGGGGCGCCGGAGGTGCCCTAACCAGAATCCATTCAGTAGCGTACTCGCAGAGGGCTTGTGAAGGGAGACTCCAAAAACAGCTATTAAGATTTGCCATGCAGAGAAGGGAACAG